GATCCTGAGGAAGACCAGGCGGACCGAGATCCCCGACATCTCCCCCGGAGACCGCTGTGCATTCTGGAGATGGCGCAAGATCGGCGGCCGGAAGTGTGGAGCTTGGGTCGTTGCCCGGTTCCTGAGTTGGGATCCGGAGGCGCCAGGGAAGAACGCATGGGTGAGAACTTCCACTACGACCACCTTGGTGACCTGCGAGCAACTTCGAGTAGCAGTTGGCTTCGAGCAGTGGTCACCCGACGAGGACGACGTTAAGGCCCTGAAGGACGCCACCAAGGCTCTGAAGGACAGCGTCTGGGAAGACGAACGAGGGCCAGCACCCATCGAGGACAGCCTGGAGGTCAACGTCGAGCAGCCCGAGGTTGAGGCGGCTATGCCCTTGGCCGAAGCAGCTATGGCATCGCAACCGCCTGCCCCACGGCTACCCGAAGCACCTCAAGCACTACCAGCACAGGGACCCTCGGCCCGAGTCCAGATCAACGTCGACCGCCCGTCCTACCAACACACAGTAGTGAACCAGAGGTTTGGCCCTTCACCGAATACTCCGAGAAGGACACGCTCCAGAACGCCAAGCAGAATGCCTGTGCCTGATCCACCTCCTGCACTACCACCGATACTCGAGGGACAAGCAGCACTTGGACACGAAGTACCTTCATCCTCACGGCCATCAACACCTGGACCTACCGCTACACTACCTGGAGAAGCACCTCTACCGGCACCACCATCGAGCTCATCTCTAGCCACACCACCAGCGACTACTCCAGCCCTTCAAGCAGGAGCAGATCCCGGTGAACCACACGGAGCCGATGACCCCTCTACCGGTTCGTTGCTGACTCCAACGCCCAGCCAGCACAACCTTGCGGATGACCCGCAGGACCAGGTCCAGGACATGTCCGACAACCTGCTCCCTGCGAAGAGGCCCTCTGACATCCTCTTCACCATGCACAACAACTTCGACGGCACCTTCGAGAGGACTCCCTACTCCTTCGACGGCAGCCCCGAACTCGGATACGGCCCCAAGTCCAGGATGTACCACCAGGCCTACATCAACTCTGCCGACCGAGTCAACGACGTCCCGGACGGCAAGGACCCCACCGAGTCCGACAGCACAGACAGCGAGCAGGAGGAGAAGGACCAGACAACTAGCCGACCACTCAATCGGCAGGAGAAGAAACAGCTTGACCGAGAACTTCCATGGCGGGAGATTTGGGCTATGGGACCACGCGTCGTCGACAAGTTCCTGCACGCCGTAGAGATCGAGCACGACGCTTGGACTCACTGGGACTCAGTTCGACCCCTGTCCAAGGAAGAAGTTCAGAAGGTCGTGAACGACAAGTACCTCCGGCGGAGGGTGATGAGGTCACGGGCTTGCTACTGTGACAAGAACCGCGGCGTGGGCGAGATCAAAGCCAAATGCCGTGTCGTCTGCATTGGTTGCACCGACCCGGACATCTTCAACATCAGCCGTGACGCCCCCACACCTGGAAGACTTACCGAGCACATGATCTTCAGCATCATTGCTTCCGGCATGGGCGGCAAGTTCGGCAACACCAACCACCGCTGGAAAGGCTGGCTCGCCGACGCCAAGACAGCTTTCCTTCAAGGGAAACAGCCAGATGGTGAACGCGCAGCACCTCTCTACATGTGGGCCCCCAAGGACCCCCTCATCGGCAAGTCCGGCAGATGGAGCGCGGAGATGTACCAGATACTTGGCAACGTCTACGGACTACCAAATGCTCCGAGACTCTGGTTCCAAGAAATCCAGAGGCGACTCCACACCGCCGGATACCGCTCTCACTCATTCGACAGGATGTGCTTCCTGAAGTGCAACAGCCAGGGTGACATCGTTTCCATCGTCGTGATCTACGTGGACGACTTCATCGGCGTCTACCGCGAGGACTACAACATTGACGAGGTCACCTCACTCTTCGAGTGGGGCAGCTTTGAGGAGCTCCTTGAGGACACCCGCGTGATCTTCAAAGGCAAAGAGCTCACCATCAAGCGCCAGGACGACCACTTCCAGGTGATCATCACCCAGAGCAAGTTCATCGAGAACTTGGAGCGGGTCAAGCTGGCGCGCGGCCGACTACAAGGCCCTGAGCAGCTCTCCGTTCGGGAGAAAGCAGAGTTCAGCAGCGTGGCAGGCTGCCTCCAATGGCTGGCCGGTCAGAGCCGACCTGAAGTTGGCCCCGCAGTTAGCCTGTGCAGCCGCGGCGAGGCGACTACGATCCAGGACTTGAAGAACCTCGCCGACACCGTGGAGTTCCTCCACAACACCAAGAACAAGGGCATCGCCATCGAGGGCATCCCCATCAACCGCGGGACCACCGTTGTAACCTACACGGATAGCTCCTGGGCAAACGCCTACAAGAGCGGTTCCCAGTTTGGCGTGGTTGTCACTCTCACGCCACCTCAGGTCAGCACCGGCGTCACGCCCGCCACAGTTGTTGACTGGAAGAGCGGACGCAGCCACCGAGTTTGCCGGTCCACACTTGCGGCAGAGGCTTCAGCCGCAGATGAGGGCGCAGATCGCGGCGCCTTTGCCAACATGTGGTTGTCAGAGGTTCTCTACAACATGCCGGCACACCGGGTGGGTCAGAGACTCCCCTCCAAGCAGGTGACCGATGCGAAGAGCCTGTACGACGCGGTCATCGCCGAGAATCCCAGGTTGACTGACCGCCGGTCACTTGTGAACATTAGGGCAATTCAAGAGTCAGTGAAGCCGGAGCAAATGCACTGGATCCCAACCACGATCATGTGGGCGGATGGTTTGACAAAGTGCGACCCCAAGCTCCGCGAGACTCTCATGCGCTGGTTGCAACAGCCGTTCTGCCAGTTGACCAGCTGCAAAGCGGCAAAGGTCAAAAGAATTTAGACCAGTGTGAATTGTGCACTGAGCCTGGCTTGACCTTTGCACATGTGTATTGCATGGCCCCTTGCACATCTTGGCTCTCGCCAAAGGGGGCCCGCTTGAGCATCATTTTCCTTTGCTTCGCATGTGCGCCTGCGGCCACTTGCTTGACTTCAGAAGCGCCGACTTCATCACCTGGCCTTTGTGGAAAAGAGCCAGCACCGACCACACGCAGCAGCGAGTGTGTGTCGAGACCTCCGTGAGTTGCCGTAGACAACGTCGTCGATCCGCCATAGTACCCAGGTGGTAACCCGTCACGATGTCAAAGCTAGTTCCTGCCGACGTCCCAGCGCGAATCCATCGCCTTTTCAAAGACTCTTGTCAACTGGAATTTATATTTCAAAATAAAGATTTTAAAGGTGGTCTCTTCTTCTGAACCAGTAAAGAAATCATCTTATTGGATTTCCAATTTCAATATTATCTAAATAGGTGTTCCTTTTCAAAGAAGATTTGCACTTGAACGTCTTTTTTGACACTAGACTTTGAAACGGTTTCTATTATCCTGTATTGATCAGATTTTGAATGTAAATGAATAGGGACATAATCCTAGTAGAGAACTTAACCATACTTTAGATAGGCGTGTGAAAAAGAACGGTTTATATTTGACATTCTTATTTCAATTTTGATTCTAAAGGGGGTCTCTCGTCTAGGATGTGTTTTCAAGTTTCTACTGGAATTTAAGTGGAGTTGAAATAGGACATACCCCTACTAGGATTTCTAGTTTGAAGAAAATCTGGTTTCATTTTCACATAAGATTTATAATTAAGTGTCTTATTTAACATTCGATTTTAAAGCAGCTTCTAGTTTTATTGTTTGATTATAATTTAGATACAATTGTAAACGCTTCGCGTTGCCCGCCTCGGCCAGTCCGGTTCTGGCTGGCTTTGAGGTCACACCGTGCTTTAGTTTGCCTTGAAGTCTTGTGTTTGCGTGAGATGGTTTCCAAGGTAGAGGGTGGGTGCATGTCTGCGTGTTTCCACATGGCTTCAAAGGCCAGAACGCAGAGAGCTACAGAATGGCAGTGAGCTTGGGCCAAGCGAAGGTGAGTTTGAGTGGTTTTCGGGGGGGAATTTTGCAACTTTCTGGAAGGATTGGCCGGAGTTGGGCCTGTTTTAGCGGGGCTTGACAGGTTTCTAAGGGAGTTTGATCGGTTTCTACGGTTTGGGGGGGGGGGGGGGATTTGATCCGTTTTAAAGGGATTTTGACCGGTTTCTAGTTCTAGGGGAATTTGACCGAAGCTGGGCCGGCTTTTGAGAGGGGGACTAGTTTCTAGAGGGTTGGGAGAAGTTGACCGGTTTAGGGGTGACCTGAGTGACTTGATGGGTTTCTTGACTGGTTTCTGCGGTTTTTAGAGAACGTTTGATCACTTTCTAGATGGCCGGTTTTGAGGTTTGAAGGGGGGTGTTGCCGGTTTCTAAAGGGGGCCGGAGGAGACTTTCTTGAAGCTGCGCGACATGGGGTCGGGTTTGGATCCTGAAGGGGTTCTGAAGGGTCTGACCGCTTCCCGGGTCTGGGGGTCGGCGAATTTAATAAGGACAGAGTTCTAGTCGAGTTTCTATTTTAACGAACTTTTGAGTAGGCGTTTAACATCATATTTGTAGTCGGGATTGCTTTTTCAAACTGGATTTTAAAGGTGGTTCTTTTTCTAGGACTGAGTTTTTCAATGTTTTAGTTGGAATCCAAATAGAAACTGACAGTGACCCATCCCAATAGAATGTCTAGCTTGAAAGATGATGTAAATAAGATTTCCCTTTGGAAGAATGTTAACTGTGATTCTTGCTTCAAACTAGAGTTTAAAGAGGACTTCCATTCCGTGGATGTTTGTCCAGTTTCTAAGTAGAATTTAAACAGATGTCAAAAAAAAAGCGGACTCTTTCTGCTGCTTTCCGCAAGGCACAAAGAAAGGCAGACACCGCCACAAATACCATTGAAGCCAACAAAAAGGTACACAGTTAGAGGGGTAGTAGATATACATATATATATATATATACTTATATCATTACATATGTGACAACATACCTACACATATATACAAGCGGGAGGTTCCGTTTGATCCTGCGCATCCTAGCTGACTTGTATTGCACGGCAGGAGTTCAAGGAATGCATGGAAGTCATTGAGGAGCAGTTGCGAGATTCAAATGGAATGTGCCGGCCTCAACGATTCAGCATTCGCTTGTGCTGTGTCGATCATTGAGTTGAATGCAGTGGTCTTGGCAGTGTATGTTTATTTTGAAGCCTCCTGGCCTAGGTGCGAATATGCAATTTACGTGAAGGCCCTCATCAAGCGGCAAGAAGGGCAGGCAACCGCAGGGAGCCATTATATTACATGAACTCTGGGATCAGATGCCTAACAGATGACCTTGGATGGATGCAGGTCCAGGAGTCGTTACAGCTATTTCAAGCTGCTACGTGCATAAGCCCATTGAACGTGTACAATCTCAAGCAGGCAGTGAAACACGTCAACAACCAGCCTGATTCGGATGAAACAAAAACATGACACTTGCAGATGGGGCGAAGCCTCTACTTGCTGGGAAAACATCGTGGCGCAATAGAGGCAAGACAGCACATGGTACTTAGTACTTGCAAAGAGGGCTCAATGCTGGAGAGTGCAGATATGAAGTCAGAACTTGCCTGATGAATCAGTCAGCTTGGCTGTTGGATTGTCTCTTCTTTTGCAACCGCTGTCAAGTGCTCAGCAAGTGTTGGCGAGTCATAAGCATGGCTGGTCTCCAGAAATCACCATGGAAGGTCTACGACGAAGCCCAGAAGATTTCGCCAGATGATTGGGAGATCTGGCACAACAAAGGCGCTCGATCTTTGGCTCCTTTGTTTAGAGAGCAGCATGTCATGTCAATGTGAGCAGTCACCATTCGCTCAAGCTATTGTTGCCATGTTGGTACTAATCAAGGTGTATCATGATGTTCGTGTCCTTCTTGACTGGAAGACGCTTCTAGACTAGAAGATGCAATGATGAACATATTTGCCGTTTGTAGCATTCAGGGCTAGAGAGCGTGCCAGGAAGGAGAATGAAGAGCTTTGAACTTTGCGGTTGTGTTTCTAGCCCACTATGTCATTGAGTGTGTTTGTGCACCTGAACACTCCTCCATAGCATTGTCAATGCCAGCGGTTCGGCGAATCATTCGAGAGCATCAGATGGTCCCGAAACTCAAAGAGGTCAACTTGTCGGATCCTGCATCCTTAGTACCCGATTTGCAGCTGAACCGTCGCTAGGCTGTGATCACAAGCTGCCTTTGAGTGCAGGTCTTTGCCACATGTACCTCCGACACTATGATAGCTCAATCGAATGCTTTTCAAAGGCCAGCGGCTGTCATTTCCTCTTGGTCAGATCGTGGAAAACATGGACATGCCCATGCACATGGAAGGCAAATGCAATCCAGCGACACGACGTGACCTTCATGCAGCTTGGAAAGGCTCTGCTCATGCGACTTGTGTACTGTGAAGTCGGCTGGTGCCAGACAAAAATCAACAGTTGGCCTGACAGCGCTTGCTTGCCTGGCACGTCTTGCTGCACGCGCTATGTTTCTTTTTTTTCCACAGGTGTATGCTTTGCAAGAGGACTACAAGTCCGCAATTGACGTTTACACCGAGGCTCGCAATTGCCTGCAACTGGGTGTTGAACTGGATTGTCAATTGTGCCTTTGGGCTTCGCAGGCTCTGGAGTTCTCACCTGAGCACGCAGAACTGCTGACAACACTGGGAATCCTGTACCTCAGGTGCCTCGGCGGTGACTGATGTTCAATTCTTTGCGGTTTGAAAAGCAGCATTGGCCCTCCTCGGATGCAATATATTTCAAGATTAATTCTCACGACATATTTCACTCAACTGCAGCGCTGCTAAGCTGACATGCACGTCTCACTTATAAAGCATACTGGACGTCGCAGGCCGCTGATTTGTTTCAGGTGTCAACTGGCTAGATGGGCAATATGCTAGCGCTTGTGTGTGCGCTTGGCGGAAACAGTAGCTTCTTTGGGCAGCAGGTGCATGTGTACTGTCGGGGGACGTGTGCATGCGGTCGCGCTGCTGCCAGAACGTTCACATTTCGGGCCTGCTTGCTTGTGGTCGGCGGTGTGTGATGTGTGGCGACAGCGATAGCTTCTTTAGGCAACGTGCTTGCGGTCGCTCGCGCATGTGCTATGGCAAGAACAGTCGCATTTTTACGCTACGTGCGTGCGGTCGATTGTGCTTAGCGTGTCAGTGGCGGTTGTAAGCAGACGGAGTTTCTCATTTGGCAGGTGTGGGGGCTGTCGCTCGGACACGTAGAAAGATGACTAGACAATAAATGCCATGAGTTTTGCCCGGGAATAAATGGCAACAGAACAAAGCTCTACAATCCCCGTCCTGGCGTTGGGCCCTAAAACAATGTGTATCCGATTCACAGGCATTGGGGCGAAGCCTCAGCCTGACTTGGTGACACAATTCAGCAGTCCGCTCCGAGGATGGGTGAAAATTTCAAAGCCTTTGCCCAGATCCTAGACAGCTGCACTAGTTGCACATTGAGGATTCAGGAAGAGCTCGCTCAGGATTACTTGGGCAATGCCCTGACACACGACCCCAAGAATGCGAAGACTATCCTAGCAGCAGGTTCCATCATTCAGGAGTTAATTTCCAGCTTGCTGCAGCGCGATCTAGACATATTCTTCGCGTCCTTGCTTTTTGCCATGTTGCGTCAACTGAGTTCTGCGCGTCCCTTTTGGAGGACCATTCTGACATGGATGTGGCACTGATAAAATACCGCGTTGCTGCAGTGCACACACCGAATTCAGCTCAACTTTGGAACAAGCGGCATCCTCAGATCTGCCTTGGCTGATGCCCACTTGAACCACCGCACAGTAGCACTGGGACTTGATATATTGAGTCTACAAAGTCAAAGCATTATTTTGGAATCAAAGGCAGGGACGCACAATCATCTCGATTCACGTTATGGACTCAATTTGACTTGCTGAGTATTGGCATGTGCTTCTTTGGCAAAACAAAGTATGTGGCGGCAATAGCGTGTGGGAGCCTCAGTCGCTGAACATCGCATGCACCGCTTGTTCGATCATGGCATCTCATCCTGGACCAAGGTCTTAAACGCGCCCTCTACTTGGACCCCTTTGAATGGATTATATCCTACAATTTGGGTCCGAGCGCATGCGCAAGTGAAAAAGGTGTTTTCATTCTCGAGCGCGCCAGGTTTGGTACATCTCAACACCGGACAGTTTGCGTCTGTCGCTCTGGCATGTCTTGCCCCTTCCTGATCCAGTGGCATGTCTTGCCCCTTCCTGATCCAGGGCGAGTGATCCAACATTTAAAGAGTTCTTGGGGCAGGCCTTTCACTTCTTCTCAGCGAGCATCAACTTGAAGCCGGACTTTCCATCTTCTTACATGTGCCCTGCATCACATGTACGATATTTACGGCGATTCAAGCACCCGCCTTCGTAGAGCTCTCCTGGCAACCTTAAGGTGCATGGAGCCAAAGCATACAAACAAATGTTGACGTCGCATTCTTTGTGATCTGATGCGAGGGAATGGCGTTTTTGATGACACTTGACAATTTGACCTTCGACACTGCCAACGAACAGATCGTGAATTTAAGCGGTCTTCGATAGTCTCGTTGACATGGCTTGTTTGCATACGCTCAAGGTACTTGGCGATAACTCTTTCCCGATTGGACGACTTCTCCAACGCATGCAGTGCCTATGAGAAGGCCTGAGTCTCAAGCAAGCTGCAGGTGCTTTTGAAAGCTGCGCAAATTCGATATGTCTAGGCCATCGAAATGGATTCCGACCACATGTTTCACTTAAATTTCGCGATAACTCTCTTCAACCATGGTGATGTTGCGGAGGCGCGACACTTTTTTCAAGAGAGGGCTATGTGCTGCATTGTTCCGCAACATGCGGAAGCGCAGATGCTTTGGTGATGAGCATTCTCCATGAACAAAGAATAGCGAGCATGAAGCTTCCTGCCCCCTGAACAAGAGAAACAGCAACAACAGCAGCAACAACAACAACAACTACTACTACTACTACTAGTACTACTGCTACTACTGCTACTACTACTACTACTGCTACTACTCGACTAATACTACTACCGAGCCGCTACTTGCTACTTACTACTTACTACTGTACGACTAGTTACTACTTACTCCGTACTCCTTAGTCCTTACTGCATTACTTTTCACTACTTTCTACTCACTACTTGCTACTTGCTACTTGCAACACACGTAACTGGCAACTTACATCTTACAGCATGAAATCAAGAAACAACAAACTTACAACAGCAAAGCAGCACGACCACGGCCGGCCACAACAACCACACTGACAACTACAGAAACAACTGCAGCAGCAACAACAACGACAACGACAGCAACCACAACCATTGCCATCGCCACCACCACAGCAACAACAGTAGCAGCAGCCATAGCCATAGCCACAGCCACAACGACAGCGACAACGACAACAACCACAAGAACAAGAACAAGAACAAGAACAACAACAACAACAACAACAACAACAACAACAACAACAACAACAACAACAACAACAACAACAACAACAACAGCAACAGCAACGACAACGACAACGACAACGACAACGACAACGACAACGACAACGACAACGACAACGACAACGACAACGACAACAGCACAACAACGACAACGACAACGACAACGACAACGACAACGACAACGACAACGACAACGACAACGACAACGACAACGACAACGACAACGACAACGACAACGACAACAACAACAACAACAACAACAACAACAACAACAACAACAACAACAACAACAACAACAACAACAACAACAACAACAACAACAACAACAACGACAACGACAACAACACAACGACAACGACAACGACAACGACAACGACAACGACAACGACAACGACAACAACAACAACAACAACAACAACAACAACAACAACAACAACAACAACAACAACAACAACAACAACGACAACGACAACGACAACGACAACGACAACGACAACGACAACGACAACGACAGCAACAACAACAACAACAACAACAACAACAACAACAACAACAACAACAACAACAACAACAACAACAACAACAACAACAACAACAACAACAACAACAACAACAACAACAACAACAACAACAACAACAACAACAACAACAACAACAACGCACAGCACAACAACAAACAACAACAACAACAACAAACACAACACAACAACAACCAACAACAACAACAACAACAACAACACAACAACAACAACAACAACAACAACAACAACAACAACAACAACAACAACAACAACAACAACAGCAGCAACAACAGCAACAACAGCAACAACAGCAACAGCAACAGCAACAGCAACAGCAGCAGCAGCAGCAGCAGCAACAGCAGCAAGATCAAGATCAAGAGCAACCGCAACAAGCGCAACAACCGCAACCGCAACACTCGCAAGCACAGTCACCGCCACAACAGCAACCACAACCAGAACCATAACCACATCCAGAGCGACAACGACAACAAAACAATACAATATCCGGGCATCTAGCGACCCGTGTTGTTTTCAGCATCCCACAGCGTGCCCCGCATCCCTGGCCCCTTGACCTTTTGGCGCGCCAGCGGGTAAGCTTGTGATTTGGCACGTGTGGATACAGTGCTGAAATGTAGATAGATATTAGACGGAGTGAAAGATGGAGAGATAGCTAGATGGGCAAGTAGACAGGTAGGTAGACGATTGATAGAGAGAGACAGATAGGAAAATTAGTAGGTCGCTCGGCCGGGCGATTGCCCGCTGGATTCTAGCCGCTACATGGAGAGACAGGTAGAGAAGCAAGAAGAAAGGTTGGCAGTTTTGGTTCGTTGAATAGAAGGACTACATAGATAGACAGATAGACAGCGAGGTAGAAACACAGAGAGAGAGAGAGAGAGACAGAGAGAGACAAGTTGACAGGCGCGTAGGATTCAGTAGATGGACGGATAGACCGATCGATCTACACAAAAAACAGACAGATAAAAGGACTAGATAGATAGGCGGGCAGATAGATGGACCGATAGGTAGATGGAGCGAGATAGCTAGAAAGAGATAGACAGATATAGGTAGATTAAGATCGACAGGCTGCCAGACAGGCTAGGCAGATCGATTGATGGGTGGACAAGGTGGCCTGGGCAGGTAGGGAGCGATCTCGGTAGCCGGTTGATGGGCTGGTAGACAGGTAGGTAGCAATGTTGATAGATGGTTCGATGGACCTATTGACGCTTAGACAGACAGGCAGACAGATGTGTAAATCCTGAGAGATAGGCCAGGCAGACAGATAGGTAGACAGGGTGATAGGCAGAACAAGAGAGAGAGAGCGAGAGAGAGAGAGAGAGAGAGTGGGAGAAAGAGATTCAGAAAGAGAAAGAGAAAGATGAGGTCTATGTCAACGTGAAGCATTTTCCCGACAAATAGGCAGGCAGCAAAGAACAGAGAACGAGAAAGGGAAAGAGGAGAGAATGAGAAAGCGAAAAGGAAAGAGAAATACAGGGAAAAGGGAAGAAGGACAAGAGGAAGACGAAGAGAAAGACAAAGAGAAAGACAAGAAAGAAAGAAGAGGAGAGAAGGAGAAAAAGAAAGAAGGAGAAAACAAGAGAGAGAGAGAGAGAGAGAGAGAGAGGGAGAGAGAGACAGGCAGAGAGAGAGAGAGAGAAGACAGGAGCGTGAACACCGCCACCGCCACCAACAAATCTGCAACAACACGTAGCAATTGCAACAACTGCAACTACAACGACTACAATCACAAAGGCAGCAGTAGCAGCAAGAGCATAATACATTCACCGCAAAACAAGCATGGCTGCAAATCGGTCTCACGCACTGTGTTATCATGCTGTGCGGCGGTTTGTGCGCTGTGACAGGCCAAACGACAATTTGACCTGTTCAACGATTCATTCCAGCTGCTGGACGAGGAGCAAAGAAACTCAGATCCAGAGGCCTTGCAGCAAGATGCCTCCATATTCGACCATTGAAAGCAGCTAGCATTGTGTTAATAGTGGAGGTGAATGAGCAACGACAGTTGCTGCAAAGAGTGCTGAACAGCAGCGCCAAGTGAGACCTACGGTGAGCGCCGGGCACACGCAGGCAATGGCGAGGTTATGCGAGGTTTTTCTTTGGCAAAAACAGCTTACTCCTTCAGGAGCAGGATTCAAGCAAAACTATAGAAGCCTGTGCAATGCCATTCCTGCAGTTGTGACCATGCCATGTACATGTCCTAGCACGTCTCACAGAAAATTGCGAATTGCCGCAGGCATGCCCTAGGGCTTGCGAAGCAAAATGCACAACCGCACAGAAATCACGAATTGTCCCATGTGTCTAACGGTCAGCTGGACGGAGGTGGGAAGATGGACGAAGAACGACCAAGTGTCCATGGTTTGTTAGTTTTGGGGTAATCTAACACGCGGCTGTTTGGAACTTTCTTTCCCGGCTGATCAGAGGCTTGAACAGTGTTGTGGAAAGGCGATCCTTCCAGCACACTTGATGCTCCTTGCAGAAGCCAGTCAGCTCGACCTGGTTTGTTCCATGACATCAACGACATGTATATCTTGCATTTGGCTGTTGCGGAACACTTCTGTGCCATACGTATGCAGGTATCACTTTTGTTGAAGTACTGGCCCAGCATTTGCATGTTAGTCGTTTTTGAGAATTTGCCTGAGATGCAAGCACTTGTTTGCATTGAATTAGTCATGCCAATGCCAAGCTAGCAGCGCACAGCGCTTGCGAGCAAAGCTTAGACAGGATGAGGCCTGACTGGATGGTATACAGACTTTCAAGTTGGACTTTGCACGTGAAGAGTGCACACATACATGTGGAAGGCTGCGCAGACAATCATGGTGAAGCGAGCGCTTTGCTTGAGCCTTACAAGCCACTTTATGCATCGTAGCTTGCTATTGACCAGCAGAGAGCACATAGTTTCAAGTCCCATTTAATCCCACAAATAAACTCAGCGTGCGCTGGAGCACATTCACCAATCGCTTGTAGATTCTATTACTTGCATCGCGGCTTTCATTCTTGCACCTGCAGCAGATATTGATGGAATAAGAGAACCAGTAGCTGGATCACTTCTTTATGGGAAGAAAAATCCCAACAGGAGCTGTCATCCCAAGTTGTTTGGTGCGGGCATGTCGGGCATGTCCAAGTTCAACACGCCCACAAAAAGATGCACGTGAGGCACTCAAGCAAGGTAACGATCAAGGTGTCTGGTGATAGAGCGTGGCAAGCTGTATTGGCATGCATTTGCAGCATGGTATTGCTGCAAGGTGTGGGTTGCAACTACCCAAGCAAAGCCTTCGGTTTGGCCGGGGCTGCCCAAATCTCAGCCTTGTGAGTCGTGATGCCAGCAGACATTGAGATTTCTCAGAGCCAGGTCAATGATGCTTTCCTTATCGCAGAGACCCTCCAGGTCGAACAGTTTTTCGGTCAGCTTCCATGTAAACACCTATTGGAAGGCAGTCAGAGATTGTTTGCCTTGATGGGCAGCCAGGCTCATATGGGCTTTCGCCACGAGAATATCTGTGTGCTGCATGATGTGTATCCGGGGCAGAAGAAGTCATTGAAGGCCTGCGGTTGCCTGCAAGTTGCCTACTTACCCTTAAGAGCTGGTTGCGTCCACACGTTGCATCTTGCAAGGTGGAACCTGCCAAATGTCCTACGCGGGTCAACATTTTGCAACAGTGCCGGCCCCAGATTTGTTTGGCAGATCCCGTCATCCACAAATTGTGCTTCACTTGGATGAACGCAGGGGTTACAGGCGTGTAAGCCTGCCAAAGGATTGCAAAACATATTCAGTCTGTTGGAAAGCTGGATCAGCCCCCGTATACCGTTTTGGCCATGAAAGCGTTGCCCCACGAGCAGCAAGAGGTTGCAGCAGATGGTTCGCCTTGCGCGGCCTGGCGATGTGCTGTTCTTCTCCTTTTCTGGATATGGCCTCCAGGCCAACTTGTCGTGAATGAATGTTTGAGCAATTCCGCTGATGCATTCTAAGTTCTACTCAACAAGCTCGAAGGGACACAAGCATGATGGGGAATGATGGGGTGCTTTCTTCTCGCTCTTGAGCAGACGGTGGCGATGTGCGGGAAAGGGCACATGCTGCAGGTTGATGACATGGACGGCTATCAGGATGAGGGATATGATGAAGCCATCCTCCCAACAGACTTTGTGGATGGGCGTGATGGCGACTACAGCGTGATTTGTACGAACGACATCCATGACGCGTGGAGCTTGGAGTTCTAAGCGAGGTATCAGGCCACGACCCACGGGGGAAGAACCAAGATCTATCAATGGACCCAGCTTATAATTTGCCGCAAGTGCCGTTTTGACTTGGGGCATTTTAAGGAATGCAGTCAACGGCACAGCAAGACTACAGGTCCTACTGGGTGTCCCATCGAATGTGGTCGTGACCGCTGTGATGGACTGACGGGAGCAATGTCAGCGTGGCACAAAGTCTTTGGCGAGTCGTCAAACCATTCCACGAGTCCTGAAACATGGCCTAGGCCCGTTGCTAATTTTTCAGACGGGATGCTATCATGTTGCGCTCCAGTAGAGTCAGTTTCACTGTCACCTAGCTGGCCTCGGGCCAGTGCCAAAGTCGTCTTCGATCAGAGTTTTGAAGGACTGCGATCACGCAACCACGCTGATCGATGTGGGTGGAACTCTGGACGGGTCCTTGGTCAGCGGGCTGAAGTTTAGCAACTTCTGTGGGCTGAAGGCGCGTCGGCATGGCATGGCGTGTATCAAGTCTGAGTCATGTGTTGCTTGCGCAGTTGCCAGGCACATTCGGCAAAAATGACCCTTGCCAACCACGAGAGGGATGTTTGGCAGGTCCTGCGTTAGATGCAGCTCATGTCAGGGGTCACTTGGCATACTTGTTAGCGTCGTTGTGGCAGGAAGAGCGTGCCCGTTCGGTGAAAGCACGTCCGCGCTTTCAACCAGCATTAGACTCAGTTTGCTGCTCTTGGTCGTACATATCCAGGAAGATAATGAAACATGCCTCCTGCCAAGGTGATGGAAATTGACAACCCACGGAAAGGAAGGTGCAGAAGAAGCTTTGTTGCATGAGTTTGTATAGATCATAAACATGTGCCAGGCTGCCAACACGCCCTGCTATGTCTCGTTCATCTGGAATAGCCTTCTGCTATTCAGCAGCTGGACACGGGCAAACCGCCATGGAACTGTGCCACTGGCATATTGAAGTTTCTTGATCCTCCTTGGCCCTCCTTGCTCTTCGATGTTGCGGGGATAGTTGTCATGAACTGGCTTGCGGCGGGTGCGTATGTTTGTGGGAATCATGAATGGTCGTGCGACTAGGCTCCACCAGATCCCTGTTCAGCAAATCCCTTGTGGGGCCTCTTGTTTTCGGGGCCTTCCAAAGAGCTGGAAGAAGCAGGAAGCATCAGGAAACAGCAGCAAAGAAACATGAAACAGCAGGAAACAAAGCAGCCCTTGAACGTAGAGCTCGCGCTTGCACGTGGGAGTGACAACGCAGGTGTCAGGGTAAGCTCCGCGAGCACACATTTTTTATTGTACACGCTTCGTGCTGCCCGCCTCGGCCAGCATCAGCCAGTTTCGGCTTGCTTTGAAGGAACGGCATTTCGTTGTGGGCGCTCACTTCAAGGACGCTTGCAGGCGCTGTCGGCTCTCTTGGTGGGCTGTCTTGGTGGACGCTTGTGGGCGGAAGTCTTGCGGGCGATGTTCATGAGCGCTTGCGGACGCTTGTGGGCGCTCCTTCGTGGGGCTTGTGGTCGCATGTGGGCCACAAGGACGGAAGTCTTGCAAGCGTGCATCATGAGTGCTTGCGGGCGCTTGTGGGCAGCACTGTTGCCTCTGCGGGCGTTCCTCTTGGCGGGTGCTTCTAGGCGCATGTGGGCGCTCTTCTTCGGCGCTTTTGGGTGTGCGGCGCATATGGGCGCTTGCCCACGCTCTCTGCTGGGTGCGCTTGTGGGCGCATGCGGGCGGGTTTCATTGGGTGCTTGCGGTTCATAATTGCTTGCGGGCACTTGTGGGCGCTCCTGGTGGGCGCTTGTGGGTGGTTGCGGGCGTTCTTCATGAGTGCTTGCGGGCGCTTGTGGGCGCTTGTGGGCGGCAGTGTTGCGCTGTTGCGGGCGCACCCAGCGGTCCATATGGGTGCTTACATTACTGGGGTTCAAACCTTCTTTTCATGGGGGTTGAACATGTTTACCTGACTCTGAGTGGACTGGCCAAAAAATGCAACCAAAGTTGTCGTTTACAACTAACATGATCGCATTCAACGACACCTTCTGGAAGCATTTCTGGCCCAACAGCTGAGAAAGGCTGCGCAACCCCATAGGCTTTGGCCGCAAGGTTGTTTTATTTCTGGACATCTAGCCGCGCATATCTAACCGTCAACCTATTCGGCTCGTCTTGTTGAGGGCCCGCAAGGAGATTGGGTGCTCCTTTTGCTTTCTGTCCCTGTCTGTCAAGTTCGGTCAGGTCTTGTGTCATTTGCCCAGAACCCAAGCTTCTTGGTGCCACTCGCCTGCCCAAACAACCTGGGCGTAACAGCCTTACCTTTTCAATGCCCAATAAGACGCCCGCCCACAAGCGCCCACAACGCTGCCCACAAGCCCAGCCACAGACCGGCGCCCACATGCTCACAAGCCCCCTAAGACTGCCCACAAGCATAAGGAAGAGCGCCCGCAACGGCGCTCCCGGAAGACGCCCGCAACACCGACGCTCACAAGCCCAGGAAGATGCCCGCAACGCCCACAAGCGCCCGCAGGCTCAAACAGCACAAAACTCTCCGCAAGTGCCCGCAAGGAAGAACAGCCGCATCAAAACCACGACGCCCAGAAAGATGCGCCCACAAGCCCAAGAACACCGCCCGCAACGCCCAGCAAGAACGCCACTCACATGTGAGTATCTGGGAAGCTCAGTTTTAGACCCTTTGACCGGTTGATGGACAAAGGCGAAGTCTCACGTGTTGGGGTTTCACCATTTTAGTGGTTGGACATTTTGCTGAGCTTGTGTGGGCGTTGTTGTGGGCGTTCTTCCTTGCGCGGGCGTGGGTGGCGTTGTGGGCGTCGGTGGCGTTGTGGGCGCTCTGTTTGGGCCTGTGGGCGCTTGTGGGCGGTGTAGTGCGCTCTCTCTCTCTCTCTCTCTCTCTCTCTCTCTCTCTCTCTCTCTCTCTCTCTCTCTCTCTCTCTCTCTCTCTCTCTCTCTCTCTCTCTCTCTCTCTCTCTCTCTCTCTCTCTCTCTCTCTCTCGCTCTCTCTCTCTTCTCTCTTCTCTCTCTCTTCTCTCTCTCTCTTCTCTCTCTTTCTCTCTTTCTCTCTTTCTCTCTTCTCTTTTCTCTCTTTCTCTCTTTCTCTCCTTTCTCTCTCTCTCTTTCTCTCTTTCTCTCTTTCTCTCTCTCTCTCTCTCGCGCGCGCGCTCTCGCGCGCTCGCGCTCTCTCTCTCTCTCTCTCTTCTCTCTCTCTCTCTCTCTTCTCTCTCTCTCTCTCTCTCTCTCTCTCTCTCGCTCTCTCTTCTCTGTCTGTCTCTGTCTCTCTCTCTGTCTCTCTCTGTCTCTCTCTGTCTCTCTCTGTCTCTCTCTGTCTCTCTCTGTGTTAAAACCCTCTAGGCCCCGTGCCGAAATTGGGTAGCAGTTCTGAGGTCCTTGTTGGTGTTGCTTCCCAAGTTCCATTGATCGCCATTTGGCTCAAGACACATTTGAGGTTCAAGATCCGATGTGTGACTGCGGATCTCCGTGATTGGCACAAAGAGCAAAACAACCGCTTGCGCCGCAGGGTCAGGACTACTGCTGTGATTATCATTCCTTCTTCCTTACAACGTTTACACGGGTTCGGCTATAACGGCATCGTCCGTATACACCTTTCTACGTGGTTGGTATTAAGCTTGAGGGTTCGGTGCACAGCGTCCCACGGGACGTCACCTTGCCGTCTCTTGACAGGTTATCAGCCGTAACGACAAGCTCTACACTGGACTGGGAGACAGCTGGTTTATTGCGGGTACAGGGACAATAAAGGAACGATAACATACACAGTACAATGGCGTCTTCGGCGAGCCCAAGTACTGCAACTTTTGGGAACAGCAGCTCAGAGGGATCCAATGGATTGATGGCTCTTCCTGCGGTGATGGATATGGTTGCAGATTCACAGGATGAACCTGGGAGCGGAGGTTCCGCGCTATTCAGCGACATATCTACTCCCACAAGATCATGGAAGCAGATCGATGTTCATCAGGAGTCGAAGAAAAGAGAATCCCCACCGAGAAGATCATCATCTTCGCCTGCGACACCACGGACGTCGCAGAAGGGCGTGAGATCGACATCGAAGGGTGGGAGGTCAAAATCACCCACCAGTGCAGATTTTCGCGCCGTGATCAAAGAGAAGAATAAGATGGAGGTGGAGATCGGGGAATATCAGAAGACACTTGATGAGATGTCGGCAGCAATGGCGAATCTTAACCAAGAAGACTATGGAAGCACCATCCGGATCCAGGAGCTGGAAAGACGATGCGAGATTGCCAGCAAGCAGTCGGGACATCTAGTGAGTCACCACCAACACCACATGGCTGAGGCATGGCGCAAGTTTGAGGAAGAAGCCCAACAGATGCGCAAGGTGGAAATGAACGCATTTCAGTACGGGGAGAAGAAAGACATGGAGTCGAATATTATGATGCAACAGGTGAGGCAAGCTGAAGGAACTATCATGGAGCAGAAGCGGGAGATTGCATTGATGAAATCCTACATGGCAAGCGAGAAATCGGCCGCGCAGGAATCAGCTATACGTGCAAATCAAATACACCGCGAGGCTTCACAACAGATATCAGCTTATCAGCAACAGATCAGAGGCATAGAATCTTCTACATCTATCGAGAAGTTCAACGAGGAGGAGATGGTCCAAAGTCTGAAATCACAGTTGGAGCACGCACTCGTCAAGCGCCCCGAGACGTACTCTTTGGAGGACTCCAGGGAACAGCTGATGGCGAGGCTGAATGACGTTACAGTATTTGCGGAACAGGAATCGAAGAGAGCAGATTGCTTGCTTCGCGAAAAGGAAGAGATCGTCAAACAGTATGAGTCCGACGTGTCGATGAAGGACCAGATGATTGCTGTCGAAGGTGGTCATCGTCAGGATGCGATCTTGGAGTTAGCCCAGGTCAAAGAAGAGAAACAAGAGGAACGGTGCACGATGGACGAGAAGTCGAAGGAGGCCGAGTACTGGAGACAGACAGCCAAGGGAGTGTACGATGAGTACCTCGAGGAGATGCATGAGCTTCAGGGACAACTGAAGGAAAGAGAGGCGACGCTCAAGCAAGAAGAGAGTTTTGTTCGCCAACTCGATGCTGACAACGAGGAACTACGTGCACACAAGAAGCTGGAAATGCAGGAAGCCTCCAGCAGCAAAGATGGACATCGTGAACGAGCAGTAGTGAAACGCGCTGAGGGAGGAACCCAGGCTAATTCAGGTAGGGTAGACAAGAAGGTGGCTGGGTTAATCCCGTCATCGTCTTCGAAACAAATCCCTAATTCGTCGCTGATGCCAGGTTCGATCCTCTTTCCGTCTTTCGGTGATCCAATGATCGATGTACACCTATCCCAGATGCAAGGGGTTGTTGGGCATGTCCCACAATCCACTACTACGACTGGTGGTGGTGATGGAGGGGGAAACAACGGTACTACGCCCCCATTGGATTACGGTGGATTCCCGCCCAATGGGAATGGGCAGGGAGCGGGTCGACGTCAGTTGAGCCTCGCTGGTGGCGGAGGAGGACCTCCGGATGATCCACCCGATGATGAGGATGAGGATGACGACGACGAAGGAGATGAGGAAGACGAGGAAGAAGAAGAGGAAGAAGACGATCGGACACGGAGGAGACGAAGGAGATCGAGAGATAACCGAGAGATCAAGAATGATCGACCGAGAATCTCGAGGAAAGAGGCCGAGAGAGTATCTATTCCGGCCTGGCCAAAGATCCATCAACTTGACACCTGGAAGATGCAACTGCTGATGAATGTTCTGAGCGCATGTGCAGATCCAGATACCGACGCATGGACGAAATGGCTGGAGCAGGCTCTTGGGTTGAACCCAGACCTGGATTTGCTTAGCGATTCAGGTGGCGACAGATTTGCTACGATAGATATTAAGATGGCCATGGGCATGCAGAACATGCTGAAACAAGCACCTGACGAAGCCAAGGACGTATACCTCGA